ATAAAGTGCTGACGAGATTTTCCTATGACTCGAAATTCTATTGGGAACTTCTCCTTTAGTCTCCACACAATAGCCTTTAACCGCTCGTCCATAAGACGATGGTTTTGAGACCATTAATGCTAGACGTCATAGGAAAATAGGAAATATCTGGAATTTCTAAACAAGGGTGGGTCCCATACTAGTTTTCTAAGATGGTCAATAGGAATCCCTAGTGCTAGATCCTAGGATCCTAAGGAAAAGAGTAATGACTTCAAAATGAGGTCAACAAGCTTTCAGCCATCATGCGGAAGAATACTTCTTTGTGGTGGGAGAACCTAGAGTGGGAGAGAGAGATAGAAGGACCTGACATAATCACTTCGTGGGAAAAAATATAAAGTTAATGCATTAACACTACCTACCTCGACATTACCGACAAGATATTTTCTTGAAGCTCCATTACATGCAACAGAAGGAGCTATCAGTAGAGGAGAACGAAACAAAATTTATGCAATGTATGTTGAAGTGTGAGCCAAAGGCGACAAATGATCTCATCATAACTAACTTCTTGGGAGGTTTGAAGCCCGCTATCAGCAATGTGGTCAAGCAGAGCTTAGTGCTTAAAGTGGAGAGACAACAAAAGCAGAGCTGACAACCACCACTAGTCACAGTTGGAGACTCAGGAGCACACCTCAGGGAGTAGAGCAAACTGGTCAAGAGTAGGATAGAGACACTCAGAGTGAGAAGAAACATGACAAGAACAAAACACTTACTATGGTCACAGTTAGGAAATGTTTCAGATTTCATAGTTTTGGACACATTGCTTCTAGTTGCCCGACAAGTCGAGTTGTGTCATTCACCGAGTAGGGTACAGTGAAGGAAGTGAATGAAGAGGAGTCAATTGAAGAAAAGGGTGAGGAGCTCCATCTTCCACTGCATGAGAGTGAGATGCTTGTGGTCTGATGGGTCTTCCAGACTGAGACTATGAGGGTGCAACAGTGGCTTCGCTGTAACATATGCTACACCCATTGCAATGTGAAGGGAAAAATATGCAGTCTCATCATCAATGGAGGTAGCAAATCAATATAGTAACAAGAATGTGGTTTCTACACAGATGGTGGACGAGTGGAGCCTCACGACTCATGGACATTCTCAGCCATATTACCTAACGTGGTCGAAGAAGGTCATTGTTAGCCAAAAAGTGTCTCGTGGAGTTTTCGATTGGGAATCAACTGCATGATCAGGTGTTGTGGATGTGGTGCTCATGGATGCATGCCTCATCCTATTGGAAATATCTTGGCCGCCACTGTGACGGGTACATGAACACCTACTCATTCACCAATGATGAAAATCATTTCTCTCTATTATCCTTTGTGGAGTTCGATGTTACATACATTCTTGCAAGCGGAGAAGTGCGAGTTGGATTGATTTTGGTGATGATAGAGGATAGCCGGACAAAGGCGTCAATTCCAGACACGAGACAATCACTATTGAAAGCATTTTAGGATTTTATGAAAGATAACTTGCTGCCATGGCCGCCGCTGTTAGAGAGACAATCTGTTCCCACGTTAAATAGGAATGAACCTACTTAGGGCTAGCTTTGGAAGACTCTACAAAGCTCACTTGGAATGAAGTCCCAGTTAATTTCAACAGTGTATTCTCATATGGTTAGATTGATATGGATGTGTGCTCGCGAGTGTGGAAATTCACTTAGGAGGTATAGGGGATAGGGCGACTGACTGTGAGATCCAAGTGCTCATATTAACTTAGTCGAAGACCCTCCAAACCTGGGGATCTAAATGTGTATGAGCTAACTCTATACTATGAGAAGATAAAAACTTCATTTCGATGGATGAGGTCGAACCGAGGAGATAGCCGCTTCATTTCGACAGATGAGGTTGAAGCTCGCCCAATCCGGGGATACTGACGTGGATGTCCTTGTTGCTTGAACTCAACACTGGAAGGACATGAAGCTGGGTTAGTTTAGTAGGGAGATAGAAAGGATCGACCGACCCTTGTTTGGGCCTAGTGCTTGCGTCCGATAGGGGTGGGCTCCCACTTTAGTTATCCTACTATTATATATATGTTATTTGATGTGTTTAGGTCAGTTTTTGATTTGTTTTCTGTCGGGACAACAGTCGACGTCTTCAATTTTCTCTCCTTGGGTTGTATCCAAAGTAAAGAAGTTGCTCCGTCTGTAATTTATCATTAGGTGGTGTTTCTCTATCGTTCCCTCCATCCTAGAGCCCTCCCTTCGCTGCCTCCATCACTATCTTTGCTACATTCACTCGAAAAGCAGCCCCTTTGCTGTTTTCCCGCAGCCGCCTACCACCCAGCCACCTCCCATCTTGTTGCCATTCCTTCCAACCATCTTCCTTGCTGCCATGAACCTCCTCGACCCTTTCAACACCCTGTTAACCATCTCCTTGCTACAACCATCTCATCATACACTTGCCGCCGCCCACCATCCATCCATCCGACTACTAACCATTGCCTTCCGTTGTTGTCTTCTGACCATCCCATCACACCCTTCATACTTTCTATTTCTTTGTATAATGTAGCTCCACGACCCTCAACCTAAGCCCTAGTTGGGTTTGTGTTTTGTCTTTTGCTATTTCCTAGTTTCGAATGTCTTTAGTTGTAATTTCTATTTGATTTCAGTAATAAAAATTGCATTTTTGTTGTCATTTGGGGTTAACCCAGTATTACCATTTGTTTACACTTCAACATGAGCTGCTCGAACTCTATGGTGTATTCTTCTACTGAAAGATCTTTCTGTTGTAAGTGATGAAGTTTCAAGAACACATCTTGCTCGTAATGTGTTGATGGATATTTGTGCTGCATCTCCCATCTTGAACCAGGTAGTAAGTTTTTTTTCCCCTACACTGGCATTGGCTTTTCAAGTTTTTTCACCTCAGAGACGTCCTCGTTGCCAACTTGATGGCGATCAGTTTTAACTTTCTGTCAAGTGGGACATCCTTGTATTTGAAGACTCATTCCCTTGTCTGGAGCCATTCATCAAACTCTTTTGTGCCCATGCGGCCGTCAAAATCCGGTAGGTCTACCTTGACTCCAAAATTGAATTCTCTCCTCCTATATTCAATGCGGAACCGACAAGGTATTTGCTCTTCATCTCTTGAAATTTTGTGATGAGGATTTTCATCATCTTTTTCAAATGAGTGGTCACCTTTGTTGTTGTATGACTTTCCCATGCCGTCGTATTGAAAAATCAATGAGCTTCTGTTGCAATTGAGGGATTTTCTACTGCATGTCCTCTATGACAATTTTCTAAGCACCTTGTTGAGTGTTTCTCCTTAGCGTCATTGTGTATCGTTCTACCAACCAAGATTCATCCTGGCTCTGGTTAACTATGATACCAAATGACAACGTTTTAGAGTTTTTCAATGGTGTGAAAAAGCGCAAAAAGTGTTGGAAAAGTGGTAGGATTGTTTACATGAGTGTGGAGGTTGGAGGGCGGCTGAAAACTGATGTGAATGGCGATGGGAAAGCGAACAAGATGCAGAAATGCACCGTTTTCCGGCTGTAAACAACAGTTGGGGGCCAGACTGAAAACAACGACCCAACGGCCGTTTGGTGAGGTTCGGGCATCAGGACAACGATAACGAACCAGGGTGATGAAGTTGTGATATTCTATTGTAACCAGCAGCCGTAAACATGTTTAATGGCTATCGAGCGGAAAAATCAACAGACAGACAGCGAATCAGGGAGGTATTGGTGTCGAGGGGGATTCCCCACCAGTTCCTAGACAAGCTACAAACACACCACTTGCTGAAGGAAGAGATTGCAACACTCCGGAGAGCAAAATTTTAAGAGAAGTTTCTGAATTTCAGATAATTCAACAAAAACTGAAAATTCGAAACCGTAATGCAACATATATAAGTCATCTCATAACACATACCTAATTAGAAACTAAGGAAATAGGTAAGAATAAAAAATGGATAATTAAAAAAAAGGGAATATGAAAAAAAGTAAAAAAAGTAAAATGGAAATATCAACGGGATCGCGATAATGCGGGAAGAACGGTGCCTGGGCTAGTTTTTGAAGAGAAAAATAGTTTGTGGCACAGTTATATCCTCAGGGATCGATCTTTTGTTTCATTATGTTTCTCTATTTACCAAGGTTTTACTCGTATGTAAAATAAATACTCATTATACACAAATCCCTAAAGATCTTTGATTTATCCTTGTTTTTTTTGTAACTTTGATGTTATAATTGATATTATCTTTGAGTGTTATATTTTGACGTATGTTCTCCGTAACGTTCTTAGGGTCACATACTTATTTGTCTACTCAGCTTCTCAGGTCATCTGACGATGAGCAGTTTGGCTTTAGAGCAACTTGTTCTTCTCGATTGAGCCAATCTCTTGGATAATGAGGCAAATCTGTTCTCCTTAGTGAATGGGTGAGCTATCTTGACCAAGCTTCATGCTTGTGGGTTGATTGCTTTAGGTGAACTGGTAACTGATACTCGACAGTGGGTACTAAACTTGTACTCAACAACTAGTACTAGACTTGTCTTGGCCGTTGGTGCTCGGGTATTTATTTCGTCAATTCGTCAGCTCAACAGGACAATTAGGCTAGGGAATTCATTAACTTGCCTTGATACGTTATCTGGCCCTTCAACTTGAAGTTGGTCAGGCGATATTCTGCTATACAGTCGATATGAGTAAACACTTGATCTAAACTTTTCAGCTTGATGGCAAGTCAAGGCCTGCACAAACCACCGATTTTCTCATATGGTTTCACAATGCATAGTGCTAATATCTAACAGGCTGGCTGGATTGGGCTTGGTGAAAGCTAAACTTTTGGTTAGCGATCGTCTTACCTGCACACGGATTGATCCATATGCTGAACTTGATGTCTGCTACATTTTCAACCAGTTATTAAGAATATTTCTTATAATTTTCTTTTCAAGTGCAACCTATCATATCTTTTGGAAGTAGATACTAACATCTAAAATTTGTACATTTTTATATAGTATAATTATATTTATTTTATTCACAGAACCTGTTGGGGCAGAAATTAGTATAGCACATGAATCTGTTTTATTTGACCAAGAGCAGAAAGCGGAGATGGATAAGTGGTTGTCGGCACAAGTAAACAAAAGCAGTTTTTCAGTGTGTCTTCCAGAAAAAACTGTGAAGCGAAGATGCTTTTACATAACTATTCCCAAAATTGTTAAGCAGAAGAATATCACTGGTGAAGAGCTTACTGCCTTGAACCTTGATAAGGTAATTATCAAAGTCTCAGTCTTTTCATTAAAAAAATCGTTAATTTTAACTGCAATAGGTTTATGCCATTATTTGGGAACAAAGTTCAGTTTTATATTTTCACCATTTTAGTTTACTCTCATATGGAGTTGTATAATATAATGACTTTGAATGTTAAGTTTTATCTTGTCATGAATGTTTCTAGTTCAGCTTGCTGCTAGCAGGGCGTCTTTCTCATAATAAATGATGATCTTCTGATCACTTGTGGCGCTTCATCTTGCTTCTCTTTCTATATCGAGACTGCAATTTTTCGCCAAACAAAATACTGAAATCTCCATACCTGATTTTGATGATGTTTATGCGTGAAACTAGTTTAGTATGGTGCAGGACATCAAATAGTGTTTCGTAATACATCATTAGTGCTATGAAGTGCAAATATAACATTTTATGCATTTTTTGTAGTTTTCTTAATCAAAATTTAACAAATCTGTTGTAAATAAATACCAAAATAACCATGCAAAATTTGCAAGAAAGCACACTATCCACCACATCTAATTATTGTCTTCTAGTGATGACTAATAGAAAGTGAAGGAATTCAAATATATGTAAAAGGCAATGGATCTTCAAGAAAAATAAACCATAAGATATGGAATCATTTAAAGAAATGCAAAAGATTAATATTATTATTCTCAATGAACATCACGATCTGGCCTGAGGCTTGAAATTAACTAAGGCGGGTACAGACGGTGGGACAGTGTGAATTAAATTTTCTATATTAAACTGTAATTTAATAAATGAAAGAGTCACAACAAATTAATTTAAAGCTGTACTATTAAAATTACCTCGTTACTGGTTGTCTGCATTTTCTATAAACGTCTTTATCTCTATCACTCATCTTTAATCGCTTAATTCACCTAAAAAGTTAGTTTAAGATAATAATAACCTAAACAAGCCAGTGAATACTCATATTCCTAAACTACAACAATATATGATAAAAGAATAATATGCATGCTAGTTAAGTTTCTTTATAAATTAATATATATATATATATTTATATATATATATTTAACGTATTATTCAAAGTGTCTATAGTAATATCATTTCATATCTATACAACAGTCACATGAATACCGTCTAAAATTATGTCAATTAAGTGCATTAATATCAATATACTTTTTCATATACGTGCACGTGTAATTTAGTATTTCCCCTATAGTATCATCAATGAGTGATTCTATCATAATCAGATATGCTAATGCAAGTATACTGTAAATCATGTCATTTACATTCTAAATATCATTAGTATCTTTCTTTTATAACATGCATGTGTAATAAATATGTATAACTATGCAAATCGTTCACATTCATTTCGAGATGATCAAATTGAATAATGAAACAGAATAATCATATTCTAGTTGCAGTAAGATATCTTGACTAATGGCATTCAAATGAGAGCGACTTAGAAGAAATACAATATTATTACCATAATTTAGAACTTAAAGTACCAACCTCAACGACGCTTAATTCAATAAATTTTTCTCTGACGTCGACTCTTCTAAAGTGAAAACCTAACATAAACATAGTATTCATATTACAAAACTTTAAAATAAAATATTATTTTAATTAACTATTAAATTACATTAATTATAATTTTTCATATTTTACTTTGTCATTCTACCTATTTTTATTATTATACATATGAATATATATATATATTATTTAAACTTCTATAATAAAAGAAGCCATCCTTTACCTCTTCTTGAAATCTCACAGGGGATCTCCCCCGAGCTCGACCCGCGCGAATCTTCCTTTAAACGACGGTCCCTCCTCAATCCGCTCTCGGCTCGGTTCTTGTTTGCAATGATGCGAGAGCGTCTCGAAGCAACACCTTCTTCCTCCTCTCCTCTGCTCATCACTGAAACAACCTCCTCCTCCCCTGGATAGAGACAACGCTTCCTCCTTTCTGCTTGCAAGAATAACATCGATGGCTCGTCTCGACTTAGCGCAGCGAGTCAGCTAACTCTTCTTCTCCTTCGCTATTCGACTCCACAGGTAAGTTAACTACGTCGTTTTATAGACTTTCATCTTATTGGCTTCCCGAAACTTCGTTTTCATTCCCCCCACCTCGGTTGCCCAAACCTTCACTTCGTCTCATTTGCTTCTTCATTTTCTTTTCAGTCTGTTCAATTCCTCTTCTCTATTCCTTCGACTTCCCCGTTTCTTCTCCTTCAACTTATTTTTTCTTTTCTTGAGTAATAGAAGTCGAACATTAGAATCTTCCCAACTAACAAAAATTTCGTCATCAAAATTTATAAACATGCCTTAAGTCTCTCATTAAATAAGTCGATATTTATTATCCATCAAATTAAGGGTCATACATTAATATGATAAGTAATCACTATAAAAGTAAAAACTCGATACAAGACCACTCAACTATACTTCATAACACAGTTATTGAAGCACAAAAACATGCTAAAAAAAGCCAAACTAATCATACCTCATCACCATCAACATGAATAGGTCCTTCAAGCTCACTATTAGTAAGGGAATATATACAAGGTCGAACAAGTTGCCTTGGTTGACCTTGAGTCGGAGCTGAAGCTACAAACTATCTTTTTCAGCCCTCCTGCAAAATTCTGTGAATGAGCTCCACCAGATTTATGATCTTCAACGTTTTTTTGGCCAAGAGATGGACAATATCTTGCTATATGACTAGGTTGATGACACTAATAACAAGTGTTCGAGCCCATCAAACTTTCACATTTATGTTGTCTTCTGCATTTAACACAAAATGCTCTAGTACCCTGAGTCATATCTTTGCTAACTCCACTCAAATTATTCTTGGACTTCTTCTCATTGGATCTTTCTGAGTGATCTACATGTTCTTTTGCAGTCTTCCTCTTGTGCATCTTCTTATGCTTTTGAGTGAGTTGATAATCGATCTCCACTTTTCTAGCTCGTTTCATTAATACCAAATATTCATCGACCCTTAAAGGTACTAACAGCTGTTTGATAGAATCTTTTAATTCTGAAAGGAATTTGTAGCACTTTTCTTCTGTGATAGCGATCAACTGTGGCACATACCTCGATAGTGTAATGAATTCTGCTTCGTAAATGATCGTCTGCTCTCATTGCCTTAACTTGATGAATTTGTTTTGCATTTATCGTCGAGCGGATACGGATACAAACCACTCTTTAAAAAGGTTCATGAACTCCTCCCAACTTATCATCGTGTTGGGTATATCTCCTAACCTGTCCTGTTGTTGTCCATGCCACCACCTTTTGGATCCTCAATCAAGCACAAACGTCGCCAACGATACTCTTCTTTCATCTGGACAAGCCATGCTATCTAGTATATTTTTTATCCTCATTAGCTAGTTCTCCGCTTCAATTTGGTCTTCAGTTCCCTTGAACAAAGGTGGACGTAGATCTTGAAATATTTTTTAGTACTTATCCACAACAATTATATTACTAGGCTGCTATCTGGACTCTTGAACCAGCTGAGTCATCACTGCCATCATTTGGGTGAGGATATTCATGTTCACATAAATAGTATGCTGTACTTTGTTTTCTATTAGATTTTCTTCTTTTATAATTTCGGGTGTATCACCATGCCTGAATGAATAATAATTATTACTTTGAGCTAACTTTAATTTTTATTAAAACTTTCTTATAATTATCCTATTGGCTTTTTTATCAATATGTAATTAATTAATCCTAAATCTTGAGTTCTGATGCTACTTTTATCATGACCCAACTCGGGACTTGGAATTAATCAAGACGGGTATAGACAGTCTGACGGTGTGAATTAAATTTTCTATATTAATCTATAATTTAACAGATGAAAGAGTCGCTGCAAATTAATTTAAAATGATACAATTAAAATTATCTCATTTCTGATTGCCCGCATATTCTATAAACGTCTTACTTTCTATCTATCATCTTTAAACGCTCAATTAACCTGAAAAAATAGTTTAAGATAATAATAAACTAAAAAAACCAGCGAATACTCATACTTCTGAACTGCAACAATACAACAAAAAAGAATAATATGCATGCCAGTTAAATATTACAAATATTTAACGTGTTTTTAAAGAGTCTATATCAATATCTTGACAATATCATTTCATATTTATACTACCATCACATGAGTACCGTCTAAAAATTGTTTCAATTAAGATTTCAATATCAAGGCTATTTTCTATATACATGCAAGTGTACCTTAGTCTTCCCCCACTAGTACCATCAAACGATGATTCCGTCATAGGCAGACATGCACATGCAAACATACTATAAATTATTTTATTTACATTCTAAATATCATGTAATATCTTTCTTTTATAACATATATGTGTAATAAATAAGTATAACTATGCAAATCATTCACATTCATTTCAAGATTATCAAATTGAATAATAAAACAGAATAATGATATTCTAGTTGCAGTAAGAAGATATCTTGAATAATAACATTCAAATGAGAGTGATTTAGAAGAATTACAACATTATTACCATAATTTAGAACTAAAAGTACTGACCTCAACGACGCTTAATTCAATAAGTGTTTCCCCGACGTCGACTCTTCTAATGTGAAAATCTAACACAAACATAGTATTCATATTACAAAATTTTAAAATAAAATATTTTTTTAATTATCTATTAAATTTACATTAATTATAATTTTTCATATTTTACTTTGTCATTTTTCCTATTATTATTAGACATATGAATATATATATATATATGTATATGTATATATATATATAATGAATCCAGGGGCTGAACGGACCTCTTTTTAAAGGGTATAAATTATTTCCCTAGGTCGAACATGAGAATGCTAAGGCAACGAAAAAAAAACTCAAGGGCTAATTTATTAAAAACGAAAAAGATACAAAAATGTTGTATGAGAGAGCTTAAAAGAAATCTCAACTCACACAATTCAACATACACAAAACCCAAATAAAGCAAAGATACATAAAGATAAAAAATCAAAAAGCCACCAAAGGACACAAAAGTGCTAGG